CCCCGCGCGAGCCGGTGCGCGGCCTGCCACAGGCTCGCCACGAAGAGGGGAACCTGCATTTTGCGTCTGTCACAAGCCTGACTCCAGCCAAGCAAAGCGTGAGCTCCGTGGCTGCTGAGCAGCCGTGCCTAAAACGGGCATTGATCTCAGCCCTTCGCAGAGGGACCGAGTTGCCATTTTAGCAAAGCCACTGCCCTCGGCCGTAGCTCTTCCCTGGTGGCCAAGCGGGTGAGGTTTGACCTGGTGGAGCCTTGACCGCCCCCTGCCTTCCCCAGGCAGCTGATTCTTGCCGTGCACCATGGCTTGAGAGCACCTTTCTGTGTAAAGCAGATCACTCCAGGGCAAGGCACTCGGTGTGCGTGTGGGAGGCTGCCGCTGCTAGGACTTGTCTTGGAGAGCAATTGGACTTTGCTCTGCACAACTGTTGGAGCCTTTTCCATCTGCAGGGAACATCACCGGGCTTGAGATAAATCCATTTGGGCACTCCACCTTTTTCTCAGAGGCCAAATGCACTGGCATCTCCTAACGCCTGCTAAGTTATTGTGTCACCACAGCTAGTTACTTATGATAGCATCAGACATACTTCCCACCAGCTCATATGAGTTAATAAAAATTAAACCAAAGGGGAGCTGTGAACTGGGTGAGTGTGTTACAGACTGAGGTACGTTTTCATGTACAGGTTGTCTTTGGTAAGCAGACAGGGAAACTTCAGCTAGTGGAGAGTCTGCCTGGGCTGCTGAGGGTTAAAAATCGAGGCTACGTGCTCTGTGGCTCTCTGGACGTTGGGGACAGAGGCAGGTGGCGAGACTGGTGCCCTCAAAAACGCCCAGAACTCTTTCTTGCTGATTGTATGGATTGTCACATCAGCAAAGTCTAATTACGTAGACATAGAATGACTTGTAGTGAGCCTTGCTTGGATTTAAAAACTCAAGCAGCAGTTCAGAGCTCGGGTTGCTTGGCCCAGTGGTAAAAGCAGTGGGCCTGGTTTTAAGCTATAAATAACATCCCTTGAGCTTGGCTGCGTGACTTGACCCTGCTGTCACTTCACTGCCACAAGGGATGAGCTCAGCCCTGTGTGGGTAGAGGTAAAACACAGGACTCGCATGCAAGATGCTTTCAGGATGATGGGGAAAGGGCTTGCTTCCCCTCAAAATCCCAGCCCAGCTAGATGGGACAAACTGGATATATCAGGCTCATCTGGGCTGTGGCAGCGGCTGTGGCTTACATGAGCAAAGGGGTTGCAGCATAACCTGTGTGAGCCAGTCGGTGTTGGATTGGCGTGGGGGGCTGAGCAGAGGGGGAGGTGATGAGCCATGACTTCAGCTTGTCCCACCTCCTTTCTCCGCACAGATATTCTCCTCCTGCCTTTTGTTTAAGGCGTCTTGGCAACGTGGCGTGCGGCTCCCTAGAGCCACTGACTTGACAGTGCGGTGCCCACGGTGTCGTGAGCGGAGCAGCCGCTCGGCTGGTTTTATTTAAAGCCTCTCCTAGCCAAGGTGCGTTATCATTCCCATTCCTCTTTTCCCTTGGGTTACAAAGCAGATGGCAGCCCAAGGGAAGAGGCTTTGGGGAGGAGAAACCTGAGCTGGGACAGCTCAGAAATGCCTCATCTGCAGCGCTGAGGTCAGGGGAAGGCTCATCCTCACATGCTCTAGCTCGAGCAGTCAAGTCCTAGCGAAGCCCCAGCTTCCCTGGGGAGAGCTCCCTAGGGGCTCCCAGGGACCAGGAGCAGTGTTAGCTAGCAGGGTTGGGAGGTGGCTAGAGGCTGCTCTAGTGGCTCTTGGCTTTTGCATGTCCCAAGATGTGAATCTGAACCACTCCTCGTCGCCCAGTGTGGCCTGCTGAGGACTGGGTATGTTGGTAAAATCTCCAAGGCCGGTGATGCTGCCTCAGAAATCAGTTCTGTGCTCCATGATGCCCCAGTGGGAGCAACAGGGTGCTGCTGTCTGTGGTGACCTACTGCCTTCCCATGGCACTGGGGACCTAAACAGCAGTGAAAGCAGACTCCTTGTTCAAAAATCGGAGCAGAAGAAGCTTTTTTCCCCCTCTCAGGCATGTCACACCTGAGAGAAACTCTCAACCCGGAGCTGATGTGCCCCCACGACCTCGTGGGCTGGTCGCTGGTGCTGACCGCGCGCGCTGGCTCATGCCGCTCGGTGAGAGCCATCGCCGCGAAAAGCTTTCACCAATGACCACGCAGGTACGGTTCAAACCCAGCAGGAGCTGCGTCGGGATTCACTGAGCAGCATCGGAGCTGCGCAAGCAGAGGGACGGATGTCGGAAAGAAGGAGAAACAACCCTTGGGGAAGCAGCCACAGGCAGCAGCACGGACAGATCCCGGTGGCGAGGAAGGCAGCAGTGCTACCAGCGTGCGTGAGATGCAGCGAGCCCTCCCCTCCCACGCTCTGTGCTGTCAGGGGGCGCGTGATGGAAGGATTTTTTTTCACCTGATAGGAATAGCAGCTTGCATCACACTTTGGAGAAACGCGCGATCATCTCCCATGTGGGCTGTCACCGTGGGCAGCCTGCTGAGATCTGTGAATTGGTATTAATAATCCCCGCTCAGTGCGGGCTGCTGACCTCGCTGCCATTGCTGGACGCCAAAGCAGAGCTGTGCCCAAGCAGCGGTGTAAAGTCAAGCACCTGGAATGATAAGAAGGAAGCCAGCGTAATAATGGCAGGATGGTGGCATTTATTGCCTGGCAGGAAGGAAGGATGCGGAGATAAATAATTGAGGGGAGCAGGAGGAAGGGTTTAGAGGCTGGTAGGGCTGCAGGGGCCAAAGGTTCCTCTCAAATCATCTCCGATACAGAGCACCTGTACTGAATTTCACAGGACAGCCGGCTCTGAACGAGGGCTTGGGCTGAGTGACGTGCGCCTGCCCCGGCTTTTATTTCTGGAGACAGGAGCTGTCATGGAGATAGGTAAAAAGAGCCACGCTAATTCAGACTGCATGTGGGCTAAGTCCTGTGGCACGCAGGAGCTCAAGAAGATCGTGACAAGTCTTTCAGCAGCTTCCCCCGCCTTTATTCGCCTCCAGTGATAGAGCAGATACCTC